ATTTTGTTTTGTCAAAAATCTATTTCTTAATTTTTAACATCAAGAATGTATTGCTGGTAATATTTGTTTTCCTTCAAAACCTTATTGTTGGTAATATTTCTTTTCTTCAAAAATTTATTCTTGACAATAATTTTTTTTTTTTTACAAAGTATTCCTGGAACTAAAACCCGTTTTTAACCCATTTTCGGGGTTAACTATTTGCCCATAGCTGGGACCCTAACAGGTGATACCGCCCTGGATCAGGGTGGACCTGGGGACACCAGCAATTAAGATGTGGCTCCACACTACTCAAAAACTGATGATACGAGGCCTTGCTGCTAGACGTAGTTTATCGTCTTACCCAGGACGTGCATGTTGTTTATCGTCATACCCAGGATGGTGAATTTCTGGATTAATATATATATATATATATATATATATATATATATATATACAATAAATATATATTACAATGCAATTTACAAATACATGAATTATTCACAAAACTAATGCAAAAGGTTAATGATTTAAATGGCGAGACATCCATCTCGCAAACAATTCAAATAGTACACAAAACCTCAGATCCGTTATGAATGAATTGATCCTTGTTTATATAAATTTCTGCCGTATTAGTTGTTATTTTTACCTGAAGCTTTTCGTCTGTTCCTACAGACATCTTCAAAGTAGATGTTGTTCTTGTTTTCTCTTAGTAATAAGGGACATCGAAAATATATGTGTATTTCCGAAATGAATGAAAATGAGTTATTGGTTTTTTGAACGCGCCAAAGCAACGGTATTTTAAATTTTAAAGTTTTGCGTTTATACCAAATATGGTAATGGTTATTTTACTGGTAAATTTTACTGTCAAAGTGGCATGAACTATATTGTTCAATAATTACAGTAATGTCGAATACTTTAAAAATTTAAAATCAAAACTCACTTTAAAATTTAAATCAAAACTCAGCGTGCTTTGGCGCGTTCAAAACCAATAACTCATTTTCAATAGCATTTCGAATACAATACACATATATTTTCGATGTCCTGTTATTACTAAGAGAAAAAACAAGAACAACATCTATTATATAAAAAGATGTCTGTAGGAACAGACGAAAGTTTGTAGTAAAAAATAAATAATACGGCAGAAATTTATATAAACAAGGATCAATTCATTCATAACGGATCTGGAGGTTTTGTGTACTATTTGAATTGTTTGCGGATGGATGTCTCGCCATTTAAATCATTAACCTTTTGCATTAGTTTTGTGAATAATTCATGTATATATATATATATATATATATATATATATATATATATATATATATATGTGTGTGTGTGTGTTTCCTTTATTTTAGGATATTACATCGAAAAACATGTCAAAATCGCTACACAAGTGCAGTTGTGTTTCGTTGAGTATCAACGCATTGCATCGTCATTTACAATCGCCTGATGAGATGCGTTGAAAAACGACTGCAATTGTGTAGAGATTACTGAAAACACCCCTCTATAAGAGAGGCCCTGCATATTATATAATATATCTTCTACTATCAACCTCACCTTATTTAACAGTGGGAATTGTGTGTTGAAATATAAAAGAAAAATAGGAAGAAGCTCATTCGAATTCCAGCCGCGCTCAACACCCGAAACGCTCCTAATAGTATTCAAAACAACACACACAAAAACATCTACATTCAAAACATGATGATGAATTAGCAACACTTAAAACAACCCCCCACCCTTTGAAAATGGCGAAAGAAGTGGCCGAAATCGTTTGGGACAAGTGATAATGGACAATTTTTCTCTCCCCGCCAAAATGAAAAATTTAAGAACACTGGAAAAGGTAATTAACAGATTAATTAAATTTTCCTTCTCTGTCATATTAAACGAAATACGTTTAAAAGAAATTTTGCTGCCTAAAAGCACTTCGCCACGAACTGACCCAGAGATTTACTTGACCTCCTCACCATTGAGTCAGCTTGTGACACAAGGTCGGTTTTTAACGTGAGGACACGAATGTTTCCACTCGGACCGGTGGTCTTAGCTTGTCTAAGCTGGTCAAAGTTTGTCTAATCTGGTCTAAGCTTGTCTAAGTCGGTCCTACCATCGCTACGTAACAGATGACACGCAACAGTGTGGAGGGGTAGGGAGAACGCAAAGAAGGAGAGAAGGCCCCCTCACGGAACAGATACCACCTCTGCAGCATCCATCCCGACGGAGAAAAAAAACACTTCTCCCCCTCTGCCAATCCTTCTGACAGAATCCGGAAGCCCCCGCTGGTAGCCGGCAATGCATATATATCTTGTATATAATGTGTTAAAAATTCCCTTTCATCCTAGTCTGCGCTGATGGCTATGGGCGAGATTCACCGACTGAAATCTGTGCGGTTTCAATTCCGACTTGAAGTAGTTGCATATCTAGCCATACTGATGAGCTGTGAATGACTATAGATATGTATATATCCTACTATTGAAAACTTTTTTGTGGATAGCCCTGTTAGGGTAGACGTTCTTTTTTCTATTTAATTCTTCTTCTTTTTTTCTTTCTTTTAAGTAAATCAGTGTAATTTGTAGGAGAAATTACTCTCTAATTCGGTGTGCAGAGAGCGTCACTGTCCAGGAAGATTCAGTTACCCTTTTGGAGAATGAAAACCCTCTCGTTCAGACCTTCTGGTATTCCCATATCGGTTCATTTCTTTATTTGTATCTGCATGTTTGCCATTTCTAATGTCTCTTTTCCATTTTGAATATGTCTGTTTTTATCACATTAATTAAATGCTTTTCTCTAAATGTTTATGCTTAAAACTCATCTATTACATGACTCCTGAGGTTCAGGAATAATGAAAGTACAAGTATGGCTAACTTCAGATTTACTTACAATTTGCATATGGATCAAAACATCAGACTAATACAAGGGTAAAATGCTGAAGTGAACCAAAATTATCTAAAGTGGATAGTTTTTTTTTTTGTGAAAAAAACTTTTATTTCCTTAGATTGATACTTTCAAAATGTTTTTGAGTCTGCTTAGAATTGCTATTCCATTGTTGTTTTTTATTAATTTCAAAGCAGTCTTTAATTTTTGCAAATTCTCAGATCATGGGTATTCAGTATTTAATTTCAGTTTTTGAGAACAAAGTCTCTGGTATTTATATAAATCTTATTATAAGTTTTTATTGAATTTACCTTTCATCACAATAATTTGGTGGTGATATTAAAATATAGAAATATAGACAGATGTAAAAATTTAACTGTTTCAAGGTAATATAAATTGCCTATTGTCATTATACGTCAACTTTCTTTTTGTTTTTTCTTTTTTCCCTTTTTGTAATGTGTATGCTTTTGTCGCAGTGATTAAAATATATTTTTATGTTTAAAACTTATTTGGTACACGACTCCTGGGTTTTAGGAATAAGTAGAAGTGCAAGTATAGTTAACTTTTAATTTGCTTAAAATTTGATTAAGAATCAAATACGAGGTCATTACAAGGGTAAAATCTTAAAGTGAACCAACATTTTCCAAAATGAATAATTTTAAAAAAAATTATTTTC